CAAACAAAACAATGGTCTTCTGAAAAGGAAATGCTGGGCAGGTTTGACTGGGATGAGTTCTAAATGCACATTGCAAGTGGCAGAAATGTGTGGAGAGAAGACCCAGCAACAAGAAATGTCTGGCAGTACAAGGGCACACAGGACTATGAAACTGGTGTGGTGGTGGCAAGGGCCAGCAAGTGGCAGCAGGGCCAGGAGGTGGATCCAAATGAAGAGCAAGAGACCTACTTCAACCAGCTCTACCAGCAGGAATCCATGGCACTGGGCCTTGATGACATTGCAAATGGGGCAAAAGGCAAAAGCTTTGGAAAAGGCAAGGGCAAAGGCTTTGGAAAAGGCAATGGCTCTGGAAAGGGCAAACCCACCTTGCTGGCCTTGAAAGACAAAGAGGATGAAGATGAAGATGAGGGGGAGGAGCCTACAGAAGAAGAGGAAATGAAAGAGGCTTTGAAAAGGCTAGAAAAGTCAGGGACTCAGTGACCAAGGCCCAGAGTGACTTGGAAGAAGCTTTGGAAAAGGCTTCTGCCAAGCTCAGCAGGCAAGGCAAAGCTGGGGCAGAGGGATGGAAAGCCCAATTGACCAAGATGTTGGACCAACTGAAGTGGTCCAAGGTGCAAAGAAAGAGACCAAGGACATGAAGCACCTTGCTCATGGGGCTGGATCTGTTGCTAGCAAAAGATCCAGAAGCAGCAAGTAAAGAGCATTTGGAAAAGTGTTTGCACACATTTGGGAAAGTGTGTGGGGCTATGGAAAAGTACCTGCCTGGTACCTTTGGAAGTGGGTAGCATGTTGTTGCTGTCCCCCTGGCATGTTGGCATTTGGAAAAGTGCAATTTTGTATCCAGCAAGTCTTTGGAAAAGGACATGCATATACAGTTCCAGCAGCCCTAAGATGGGGATTGCTTAGAAGAGTGGCAGTTTTGATGTTCATGTGGTGGAGAAAAAGAAAGTGGTTGGTAGCAAGCAGGTTGGGTTGGGCTGGTTTGGGTAAGGACTTCTTTGGAGCTAAGTTTATGAGTAATTTAGTTTTGGGGTGGGGTTGCCTTCAAGAAGTTGTTTTTTTGGTTCTAAGTAATTTGTGTTGACCCACAGCATGCCACTGCCTCTTTTCAAAAAGGTTGTGCCCTGCAGCTATTTTTTCATCCAAAGCCTTTGGAAAATGGTAACAACTTATATCTTTGGAAACGGATTTTCATTGCTCAATGGCTAAGAGGTTGAGAGGATGGGGATTGGAAATGGAAACTTGCAGGAGGGCACCTACAGCTAAAGCAAGCAAAGCTTTGAAAAAGGCTGTGCCAGAAGAGCAATCAGCTCTAGCCAGCAGATTGCTGTTGCTTTGGGCTAAAGGAACCTTGTCTGCTACATTAACTAGAGAAATAGCAGATCTAGCCATCCAGGATGGGGCCCAGCACCAAGATCTAGTTGCCATTGCCCAAACAGGCAGCTAGGGCCACCAGCCAGGAAATGCCCATAAACAGATCATGAACCACTTCTGTGCCTCAGTGAACATAGCTGATAGTTTTGAAGTAGAAGTACCCTGTGTGCACACAAAGACATCAGCAGATGCTTTGGAAAGGGCATCTTTTCCTGCCACACATGATGTTCTACACACTGGGTAAGAACTACACAGAGCTATTTCATCAAGCCTTCTGCTTGGAAAAGGGCAGCCAAGAAAATTTTTGGCAAGGAGTTCAAAAGACAGGAGATGATAAATTGGAGGGCCACCCTATGTCTTTGGAAAAGGACTGGCAAAAATTGTGCATACCATTGTATGTGCATGGTGATGGGGTGGAGTTCTCCAACAATGGCAACGATGGTTTTTTCTTGGGGCCGAATTGGTGGGAACTTGAATACATTGCTCACTCACTGGCTACTGGCCAGCTTCCCCAAATCTTGTCCCACATCTAAGACTTGGGAAGTGATTTGGAAATGGCTCCATTGGCCCTTCCAAGCCTTAGCCACTGGAAGACACCCAACCTTGGGACCAAACAAGGAACCTTTGGAAAAGGGTTCTTTATTTGCCCAACTGGCTGGAAAGCCTTTGCACCATCAGCACTACAAGGGTATCTTATGGTCAATCAATGGTGACAATGCATATTTTAGCAATACACTCCATCTTCCACATTGGAATAGTAAAAAGCCTTGCTGGGAGTGTGACACGCAAAATTTCTTGCCATGTACCTTTGGAGAAGGCTACAAGGAAATTTGTTTGGAAAAGCAAAGGTTCAAGATCATCAGCCATGCAGAAGCATTGGCAAACCCTGTGTCCACCCATGCAATATTCAACTTGCCCCATGTGAGTGCCAAGAATGTGAAGTGAGATCCCCGTCACATTCTGTGCTGTAAAGGCCTTTATGGCCACCTCATTGGCTCAATCTTGCATTACTGTTGCTGGATAGAAGGACCTAACAAAAAACAATGAAAAAACCACAGGACAGATTGGCAGTGATCTTTAATGAAATCCAAAAAAGAATATGCCCAACAAGGTTGCCAGGACAGGCTCACAAATTTAACGATTTCGATGTTCACAGAGGTTGGAAAACCCTGGGCCAAGTGGGCAAACCTGGCAACCAAAGCTGGTGAATCCAAGCACTTACTTCCAGCATTGGTTCCAGTTCTGCAAAGACTATTTGAAAACAGTGGTGAACCTTGCGAAGAACACATGCTTTTGGCTGCCACCAGTTTGGACAAGCTGGTAAGCCTTTGGGATCAGAGCGATACATTCTTGACCCAAAGAGAATATGAAAAAAGTTTGAGACTAGGAGGCTCATTTCTCAAGCATTATGCTTGGCTGAATTCCTGGTCTTTGGAAAAGGACAGAAAAGGTTTTCATATAGTTCCAAAACATCATCGCTTTATACATTTATTGTGGGGATCCAAATATTTGAATCCCAAAGCTTCTTGGTGCTTTAGGGGAGAAAATTTTGTGGGCCAAATGGCCAAGCTCACACATAGTGTGTCAATGGGAGTGAGTGCCCCTAAGCTTTCCCAGAAGGTGTCTCCCAAATATAGAGTCCTCATCCATCTACATTTGACTAGGTCAATGCAAGACATGCACTGGGAGACATGAGTTTGGAAAAGCTCATGGTAAGCATACAGGATGGCAAAAGGCTTTGGAAAAGGCCTGAACATATGATTTGAAAACTTTGGAAAAGGTTTGAGACTATGCGGCAGTGTTCAAATTCAAAGAACCATGTACATAGCTGTATACCAAATCCTGGGCCAAAAAGGTTGCTAGCTGCTGTGCTGCTTTGTGTCTTTTGGAGGGATGTCCTTTTGATTTTATATGTTCTTTTTGATTTTTCTTTTGATTTTCCATGCTCAAAACAAGATTTTTGCACATTGAAAACATGCACAAAGAAATCAATACACACACATTGATTTTGCAGACCTAAAAATCAAGCCTTTTGGTTCTAATCAAAAAGCGATGCTCAGGGTCCACTTGCAAAGACAAAAACTGTGGTATTTGCGTGGGTTCTTGCCATCTGACAGCGCAAAAAGCTGTACATTTTGTGCGCTCTTTATGTTCAGTTTTAAACGAGCGATGCTTTCACATGTTCTTGGCATTCAACAAGAAACGACGTTACAGATTGAAACTAGGCGACCGTGTGGCCCGAAAGAAAGCTGGAGGGAGGAGACGAGAAGATAGCACACAAGAAAATATGATGAATGCTGCTGGTGAGGAGCTTTTACACAGACGCGTTTACACACAGAAGCTTTTACGCACAGAAGCTTTTACACACAGAGGCTTTTACACATAGAAGTCTTTATACAGACTAGCTTTTACACGCAGAAGCTTATACACAGAGAGAAGTCTTTACACAGAGGAGCTTTTGCGCACAGAAGCTTTTACACAGAGAAGTGATTACACAGAGAGCTTTTACACACAGACGCGTTTGCACACAGAAGCGTTTACACAGAGAAGCCTTTACACAGAGAAGCCTTTACACAGAGAAGCTTTTACACACAAGGGCGCTTACACACAGAAGCTGTTACACACAGACGCTGTTACACACAGACGCTGTTACACAAAGATTTCTTTGCCCAGAGATCTTTAACGCACAGGCGCGTTTACACACGGAAACTTTTACACAAAGAAGTCTTGGCAGAGAGAGCTTTTACACACGGAAGCTTTCACACACAGAAGTTTTTACACAGAGAACTCTTTCCACAGAGAAGTTTTTACACCCAGAAGCTTTTTCAGACAGAAGCTTTTACACAGAGAAGCCTTTACACAGAGGAGCTTTTACACACAAGCGCGTTTAATCACACAAGCTGTTACACATAGACGCTGTTATGTACACAAAGAAGTCTTTACACAGAGAGCTTTAACACACAGGCGCGTTTACACACAGAAACTTTCCCACAGAGAAGTCTTTACACAGAGAGCTTTTACACAATGAAGCTTTCACACACAGAAGTTTTTACACAGAGAAGCCTCTACCTAGAGAAGCTTTTAGACACAGGCGCGTTTACACACAGAAGTTTTTACACAGAGAAATCTTTACACAGAGAAGGGTTCACACGCAGAAGCTTTGACACACAAAAGCTGTCACACAGAGAAGTCTTTACACAGAGAAGCTTTTACACGCAGAAGCTTTTACACACAGAAGCTTTTACACAGAGAAGTCTTTGCACAGAGGCGCTTTTACACGAAGTGGCAAGGTGAAATTGGCAGCAACTCTTTAGGAAAGACCCTTCGCAGGAGCTTTCGGGAACAAGCCTTCCCCACTTGCTCCAAGAAAAAACCGCAGTCCCATGGAATCATGAACATGATCAAAAAGAAAAAGGAATATATTTCTGAAGCAGCAGGTCCTCATTCAATAGCTTTCAAGCCCACCCTGCGATGACATCGGGGGTCAAGTAATCCAGCGGAGCCGACGATGAGCGTGAGCTCCAAAATAAATACTGTTCCCTCTTCTTAAAACTAAAAGAACTTATTTGGGGTATACATTCTATACATGTATACCCCATTTTCATCTTCCACACCGTGGTCCACACCTCAATGGCTGTTCCCACGTTGTTCTCCACCACCATGCCATAGCTGCCATGGCCACTGCAGGAAACTGCAGGCTCTGGGCCCTCGCACTCGCCGGGCAGGGAAAGGACTCGGACCACAGCTGTCGCAACCATGGCATGAAGCGAGGCAACGATTTCTTACACAGCGGCAACGTAGGCAATGTACTGAAAGAAATTGAGTTCGTCATGGTTTGTTTGTCTGTGAATATCACGCATGATACTCATCTCTGGTTCTTTTCCTATCAAATCTCTGTATCCTTTGGCCTGTGGTACTACGTTTGACTTGAGCCTAATCAGAAACCAGAAGGGGCTGGAGGAATTCTGGTCATGTTTCCGGGTACAAATCAAAAGTTGTATGGATCATGTTGATGAGCAGATGAAACTGGAATATATGATGTATACTATACCTGATTTGAACTTCTCGGTTTGTCTGAAAATGGAGTAATGTTGGCTCCTGATTAGTGTGGTGATTCGCTATTGTTTCATTTTTTGAAAAACTTTTGTGAACCTGGGAAATTGATTGGGGGGTCGGTATTGTTTCATTTTTTGGGGGTGCATTTTTTCAGTTTTTTACTTTCTTAAAGGTTTTAAATTGTTTTAAAATATTTTTAGTTTGTTGAATATTTTTTGTTTTTTGAAAATATGTTTCAGTTTTTTCATTTTGAAAAAATAGTTGTATTAATTAATTATATATATATATCGTTTTTGTTTTTTTCAGTTTCCAATTCTTTTGTTCATACGCAATTACCATGAATGACCATGAATGACCATGATCCACAATAGTATGTTTGTTTGGAGGGTTCACTATTGTGTCCAGCTGCTTCCTGGTGTGATTGTTTGTCAACCATTCCCTTTACCTTTTCCTGTGCTAAAACTTTATTCTTTTACTTTCTCAGTTTCTTTCACGTAGAATTCTCAGAAATGCCCAAGTTCCCCAAATATAGGATGCCTTATTAAAATCCCAATAGAAAACAGCACTCAAACAATTTTTCAAGGGGGTAGTCCATGAGCAACCCTGATCCTCAATAGTATGTTTGTTTTGGGGGTTCACTATTGTGTCCAGCTGCTTCCTGAGGTGATTGTTTGTCAAACATTCCTTTTACCCTTTCCTTTTGCTAAAGCTTTTTTCTTTTACTTAGCTTCATTCTTCCCGGAATCAAAACCAAAGGCTTTCCAAAGGATGAGATTGAGCTAGCCAAATTACTTTACTTCGAGTTATCCACACCATGACATTTATACGTTTTGTTACTGGCAAAGCTTCTGACATTCTATCTGGCATATCTTCTGGCATTCGATCTGGCATTCTATCTGGCATATCTTCTGGCACTCTAACTGGCATATCTTCTGGCATATCTTCTGGCATTCTATCTGGCATTCTATCTGGCATATCTTCTGGCATATCTTCTGACATCCTATCTGGCATTCTATCTGGAAAATGTTCTGGCATTCTATCTGGCAAATCTTCTGGCATTCTATTCTGGCACTTTATCTGGCATTCCTTGTGGCATTCTATCTGGCATATCAGCACTCATTCTATCTGGCATATCTTCTGGCATTTTATCTGGCATATCTTCTGGCATTCTATCTGACATGCCATCGGCCGTTCTATCTGGCATATCTTCTGGCTTCTATCTGACATTCTATCTGGCGTTCTATCTGGCATACCTTCTGGCATTCGATCTGACATGCTATCTGGCGTTTTATCTGGCATATCTTCTGGCATTCTATCTGGCCGTTGAGGTCCAGCGGTGCTCACTGAGCTCGGAAGGTCCCAGGTTGAGGTCCAGCGGTGCTCACTGCGCTCGGAAGGTCTCAGGTTGAGGTCCAGCGGTGCCCACTCCGATCGCACGCCGGCAGTTGAGGTTCAGCAGTGCCCACTGCCTCCGGAAGTTGGCGAAGAGATTGGCGAAGCGTTGGCAAGGCGGAAGTGGACGTGGAAGTGGAGGCAGAGGTGGTGGACGAGAAGGAGGAGGACGAGGAGGAAGAGGAGAAGGAGGAGACGGAGGAGGAGGAGGAGGAGGAGAACAACTGTGATAAAATCCAACAATCCTCACCTGGCAGGTGGGGAAAAAATCCATGAATGACAATGATCCACAATACAACGCTTGTTTGGGGGGTTCACTATTGTGTCCAGCTGCTTCCTGGTGTGTTTTTTCAACCATTCCCTTTACCTTTTCCTTTGCTAAAGCGTTTTTCTTTTACTTTCCTAGTTTCTTTCACTTGGAATTCTCAGAAATGCCCAAGTTCCCAAAATATAGGATGCCTTATTAAAAACTCATGAAAAAAACACTGAAACAATTTTTCAAGGGGGTAGTCCATGAGCTACCCTGATCCTCAATAGTATGTTTGTTTTGGGGGTTCACTATTGTGTCCAGCTGCTTCCTGGTGTGATTTTTTTTCAACCATTACTTTTGCCTTTTCCTTTGCTACAGCTTTTTTCTTTTCCTTTCTTAGTTTCTTTCACTTAGAATTCTCAGAAATGCCCAAGTTCCCAAAATATAGGATGCCTTATGAAATTCCCATTAAAAAAGCAGCACTCAAACAATTTTTCAAGGGGGTAGTCCATGAGCTACCCTGACCCTCAATAGTATGTTTGTTTTGGGGGTTCACTATTGTGTCCAGCTGCTTCCTGAGGTGATTTTTTCAAACATTACTTTTACCTTTTCCTTTGCTACAGCATTTTTCTTTTACTTAGCTTCATTCTTCCCGAAATCAAAACCAAAGGCTTTCCAAAGGATGAGATTGAGCTAACCAAATTACTTTACTTCGAGTTATCCCCACCATGACATTTATACGTTTTGTTACTGGCAAAGCTTCTGACATTCTATCTGGCATATCTTCTAGCATTCGATCTGGCATTCTATCTGGCATATCTTCTGGCACTCTAACTGGCATATCTTCTGGCATATCTTCTGGCATTCTATCTGGCATTCTATCTGGCATATATTCTGACATCCTATCTGGCGTTCTATCTGGAAAATGTTCTGGCATTCTATCTGGCAAACATTCTGGCACTTTATCTGGCATACCGTGTGGCATTCTATCTGGCATATCAGAACTCATTCTATCTGGCATATCTTCTGGCATTTTATCTGGCATATCTTCTGGCATTCTATCTGGCCGTTGAGGTCCAGCGGTGCTCACTGAGCTCGGAAGGTCGCAGGTTGAGGTCCAGCGGTGCTCACTGCGCTCGGAAGGTCTCAGGTTGAGGTCCAGCGGTGCCCACTCCGATCGCACGCCGGCAGTTGAGGTTCAGCAGTGCCCACTGCCTCCGGAAGTTGGCGAAGAGATTGGCGAAGCGTTGGCAAGGCGGAAGTGGACGTGGAAGTGGAGGCAGAGGTGGTGGACGAGAAGGAGGAGGACGAGGAGGAAGAGGAGAAGGAGACGGAGGAGGAGGAGGAGGAGGAGAACAACTGTGATAAAATCTAACAACCCTCACCTGGCAGGTGGGGAAAAAATCCATGAATGACAATGATCCGCAATACAACGTTTGTTTGGGGGGTTCACTATTGTGTCCAGCTGCTTCCTGGTGTGTTTTTTTCAACCATTCCCTTTACCTTTTCCTTTGCTAAAGCTTTTTTCTTTTACTTTCTTAGTTTCTTTCACTTAGAATTCTCAGAAATGCCCAAGTTCCCAAAATATAGGATGCCTTATGAAATTCCCATTAAAAAAACAGCACTCAAACAATTTTTCAAGGGGGTAGTCCATGAGCTACCCTGACCCTCAATAGTATGTTTGTTTTGGGGGTTCACTATTGTGTCCAGCTGCTTCCTGAGGTGATTTTTTCAAACATTACTTTTACCTTTTCCTTTGCTACAGCTTTTTTCTTTTACTTAGCTTCATTCTTCTTGGAAACAAAACCAAAGGTTTTCCAAAGGATGAGATTGATCCAACAAAAAATGAATGACCATGATCCACAATACAACGTTTGTTTGGGGGGGTTCACTATTGTGTCCAGCTGCTTCCTGGTGTGATTTTTTTTCAACCATTCCCTTTACCTTTTCCTTTGCTAAAGCTTTTTTCTTTTACTTTCTCAGTTTCTTTCACTTGGAATTCTCAGAAATGCCCAAGTTCCCAACATATAGGATGCCTTATTAAAAACTGTTTTTTTTTAAAAAAAAAAAAAAGCGCTCAAACAATTTTTCAAGGGGGTAGTCCATGAGCAACCCTGATCCTCAATAGTATGTTTGTTTTGGGGGTTCACTATTGTGTCCAGCTGCTTCCTGATGTGTTTTTTTTCAAAAATTCCTTTTACCTTTTCCTTTGCTAAAGCTATTTTCTTTTACTTAGCTTCATTCTTCTTGGAATCAAAACCAAAGGTTTCCCAAAGGATGAGGTTGAAATCAATTGAAAGTTAACTGAAATCAAGTGAAATAAGTTGAAAAAAATTGAGATCAATTGAAAATCAATTGAAAGTAAATTGAAATCAATTGAAATCAATTGAAATCAATTGAAATCAGTTGAAAGTAAATTGAAACCAATTGAAAGCAAATTGAAATCAATTGAAATCAAATGAAAGTATGCTGAAATCAATTGAAATCAAATGAAATCAGCTGAAAGTAAACTCAAATCAATTGAAAGTAAATTGAAAGTAAAATGAGATCAATTGAAAGTAAATTGAAATCAATTGAAATCAGTGGAAAGTAAATTGAAATCAATTGAAATCTATCATTTTTTTGACCACACATTTATTCAGAGTCTGGTACCTTAAAATTTCTACTTTAAAGAATCTAAAAATTGTTAGGGGGGTCCCCTCACACTAATCAAGCCCGAACATTACTCCAAATTTCAATGAATTCTCATCACTTTCCCGATGAAATGGTCATCCGGGGACAATACCCCAATTTCAGACACACCCACATGAGCCATGAAAAAACGCTGCTATCTCATCCTATCGTACTGATTAGCAAGCTATACGTATCCCCATTCTGGGTTACAATAACCCACAATAAACTCAATATGACTCAATAAAGCAATCAGCTAATCAGCCAATCAACAGAGGTACTTTGAGTCGTTCACATGGTGTTGTCATCCTATACCAGCAAAGGGAACCACTTCCGCGCGTCCCTGTCACAGTTCCAACTCCATCGCGGAGCACTCCTTGAAGAATGGATCCGT